TCTGTCCGGTTCAGTGGCATTGTAACTGAATTGATTCTAATTTAAATTCGTTACCCGTGTTGCGCGTGCCGTAGTGCGACAATAGCGGACAGAGATAGAAACTTCGCTTACTTCATCAAGTTCAATATTTATTTGCGGTAGATGATTTGTGGACTTTGTGAAGGTAAAATAATAGAGACGCATATGATGTGAATAGAAAATTACTGGGTACGTATTGTAACGACCTATTAATAATAATAAATATTATTATTAATTAGTCATAATAAAGATCAATTAAGATGAAAATAAAACGTTTAAGAACGTTTTAGTCACAATAAAAGTTAATAATATATACTTAAATAAAGAAATATAAGTGTGAGTATGAGAAAATAATAATACCAAAAATTGATTAAAAATAATAAAAATCAATTAAAATACTCAAAAAAGGATATTTATTAAAAATATAGCAAGATACGATCACTATTATGTCCATTAAATACAATTCCATACTTAGTGATTTCTAAGGGAAGTATTATGTACCGTGCGGGGACACATTTGTATGACCGCACATATGTAAGTACAGAGGTCGATCGCGACTCTTAGTACTATAGTCAAAGTTCATTGTATGAACGTCCCATACCAATATCATATGGAAGTAAGGTCTAATGGATAAAAGTAATAATACGTGAAGGCTCAGAGAAAAAATAATGAATATATAAATATAATGAAGAGCAATGAATGACTTGGGACTTTGTAAGACATATTACTATGGAGTTGCGTGGTACTTCTGTACGACGATATGGTCTACGGTAAACGTGGAACCATGAATGGATATGTCTTCAGTGGTGGACATATCATCGATAGCTGGTGGTAGTTGGCGTCTTAGTGACCATCACTATGATACGTTAGCTGTCATTCGGCATAGTAAGAGTTTGTTGGTAGTTGGCGTCTTAGTGTGTTGCACTATGATACGTCGACTGATCATCTGACTTTGGGGAGTCTGGTGGTGGCTTGCGTCTTAGTGTATTCCACTATGATACGTTGGCTATTACTTGGCTTGGGTGGGGGTCCGTTGGTGGTTGGCGTCTTAGTGTTTACGCTATGACATGTCGACTATCATTCGGATCGTGAAAGAGTATGTTTGGACACTTCGTGTGTTCCGAGTATATTCTAAACTTTGGAGCTGAAGTTGATTGGAGTTGTATTGGTGTGGTGTGAGGGTGTGCCACCTACGCGATAGTCACATTGATGCATGCGGCTATATGCAGTACTGCGTCTTGTGGTATTTGCGGGGTGATCTGCGCCTAATATCATTGCATCGTATGATTCTGGTTGATGGAGGTTCGAGGTGATGATGTCTGCTGTGTATGCGGATAGGCTGTATGTTGGCGTGTTGACCTGCGATAGTTGTATTGATGCATGTTGCATTTGGTGACATTGCGTCTTGCGACATTTGCTTGGGAGACGACGCTATTCATAATGGCCGAGTCTGCGTCTCGGTTTGATGCACATCTCAGTAGATTTGTCCAAGTCGGGTTCCTGATGACGGAACTGCAGACTGTCTGACCTCTTTATACGTTTTATCATTATTAACGAATCTCAGTAAAGTTCCCACCGTTCGAACGAATAATGGCAACTTGCTGGTGGGTGAGACAAACTTGATCGAAAATACATTATACTCAACGTCAGAGACACTGACAAATAAATATATGTTGCCAATTATAAACCCTTCTGATGGCTAAACATACAAATCACAACTATGGCTATATCTGACTATTTCAATGGTTGGTGGAGCATATGCGTTTACCTCATGTGGATGGTAGCTGGCGGGAGAAAACCTCTCAAGGCTGCGGCGATGCCGTGCAACGTTTTAACCATACCCTTGGGGCTACGCGCTCTGCGACGAAATGTCGTGCTAACCTTTTTAATGGTGGTGATGCCAAAACACTAACAATCACGTCTGCAGTCGCGGCGGTCTGGCAAAAGTGGTGGCGCTTACGGAGGGCTTATTATATCATAGGGCCAGAGTGCCTGATCTTTAACACATGCCCAAAACCGTATTGACGTACATTCACGAAGACTGGATTTGTCGTCGGCTTGTATGACGTTTACACGCATTGACATGCGCGACTTCGGTCAAAGTTTGTGCTTACGCACTGCCAAGGGGCCAAGCCCTCTTTATGCTGGTAAAACAGCTTTGCAATGGACTTCGGTCCTTTCCCCAACTTTTTGTCCCTCTTCTGGGGGGGGGGGGGCGCAATATGTTGGTTGGCGCTCACCGCACACGGCGTTGGTGAGTGTTTTCATGGAGCCGTGTGCCTTCCCTACATTTTTTTAAAATGTGGGGGAGCCGTAGACTTGTATCGGGTGTGTAAAATTGATGTGAGCCCTTTTCAAGAGAGAAGGGATATTATTTTAAAATTATATTGTAAGCCCTTTACAAGCGTAAGAGGGAGTATACTATATACTCTGAGCCCGTCTCAAGCGAGTCGGGGTTAGTTAATAAGAAAGCAATCTGACATTATCTCTGGCTTATACCACAACTAGTGAATATTTATCTATCCAAGATCCACCTAAAAGAATCAAGTTACTAAATAAACACAACGTAAATAAGGTCCTACCGAATATGACGATCACAATAATATTTATACGGCTAATTATTACCTTTAGAAAGATCCTATAGAAAGATCAATAATTTATCCTGGTCACGAAATGATGTTATATGATTTATTCATATAATGGGGGAAAAATATATAAGTTTAATTATATATATACACAATAACAGGGGGGTGCGAGTTACAGTATGATTAATCATCGTGCCCTCATGTGCAAAAACTATTGCAGTTAAGGTCGGCATATTGCATATTTATATTTTTGTACCTACCTGTTTTACTTTAATTTTATAATTTCTAGATACTTTAAGGTAATTTTGTCGATCTTCTTATCTCGATGAACTGAATGAACAGTGCGTAACAGCCTGCTTTCCCCCAAAGTAAGACACCATAGGACATTATGCTGTGAAAATAAGCATAATAAACTAATTTTGCTGTTTCTTAAATTAAATTTCTTACCTAACTTATCTACCTGAAATCCCCATTGCAACTTGGAGTCAACGCTTATTCCAAGAAATGTTGTTGAAGCCACAAGGGGTAGGATTTTCTCATCAATAGAGCTTCCTGATTGGTGACACAACTTTGAAAGAGTAAATCTAATACATTTTGTTTTATTGGAGTTCAAAAGTAAGTTATTGGTAACAAACAAGCCAGGCACAACATCTAGTATTTCATTTGGTTGTTCTAGTGCATCATCTTTCCTTTTAACTTTAAATAATAGTGAAATGTCATATTTATTAAAAAGTTATTATTAAAATTACAACTTTTATATACGAAATTCTAAAAGTTAAGAAATGAGCACGACAACAAATTATGGTTTAACTGCCTTAAATGAAGTGCCAATTTGATTTGAAACATAGAACAAAGTTTTTTTACTGTATTAAAATTATAATAAATTAATTATTACGAATGTAAATCAAATTACAGAAATACTAAAAAAAACTAGCATTTTTTTAGCATTTGTTTTTGTGTGATTTATATATTTTGTTGTGAAGTTATAATAAATAAATAGTGTTATACGCTTGTGTAAGTTTCTAATTCATGTTATATTCGATATTTTAATTAAAACAATGACATTTATTCATTTTAAACACGATGAATACTTTAGATTCTATTGTATTTAAAAATATTTGCTAACACGTTAAATAGTTTTGTTTCAGTAAATGATTTAGTTGACATGTAATTTTGTTAAAATCTGATGGGTTAAGTCAGGAGAACTGTGCCCGCAGGATTGAGTCATCCCAATTCTATCCATATGCTATGTATATGTTCTTTAGGAGGTATAAGAGCAAAGCGATTTCTAGAGTGATCCCATCCTTAGCCAATCCTATTGATATTAATCTAGCTTTCTTGTTTTTGAGCTGTTGATGAATCAAAAATTCTTGAAATCCATAAATTTAGGATTTTGGATTTACTGCAACCAGGATTTCAATTTGTTTTGTTGGAGGCAAAATCAGAGCGCTCGTGGCAATATGACATTGAACGATTTATCGGTTATTTAGATCCAAACCAATCTCAAGACATTTATAATATTTGAATAATTTTATGGGAAAACGTAACTAGGGTAACGGGAAGCCGTAGAGCAAAAGATTGCTAGCGATATATATATCCAGAGACTTGTACTTTAAGAGGCCAAGGCCCTACAGGGTCTGTAGCCGTAGATGTTTATGACTATATATATGTATATAGTCATAAAAGTAAAAAAGTAAAGTAACAGCCTATACATGTCCCACTGCTGGGCAAAGGCCTCCTCTATACAGAGGGTATCAGGGCATAGTCCACCACGCGGCCCCACTGCGGATTGGCGGACTTCACATATTTTATTCTTTCGTTATTATTTCTTTGTTATTATTTCGAAAATATGCAGGTTTCCTCACGATGTTTTCCTTCTCCGCGGAGCACGTGATAAGTCAGCACTTTAAGTTAAAAACTTCATTGGTGCCGGCAGCGGGGATCGAATTCAGGTTGCTCGAGTATATTGAAATAAAGGCGAGCGCCCGGACACTGAGCTATAACGGCTCCATATATATTGTTTTCTATACTCATAGATTAGATAACTTGTATTGGGAGTGTAGAGGCAGTGACAATAGAAAAAATCAAAAATCAGAATATTGGTCACACGGCACGAACAGAGTTACAGATTTCATGGAGAGTATACAATTAAGCATTACGAAGTAGCTGTCAGAAAATTTGCTGTATACGACACCGAATGCCCAACATTTGAATTTTTATAATTTAAATTTCTTTACCTCACTTATTACAATTAACATATATTTTTTGATATTTGGTTAGAATGGTTTATTCAAAAATATATGCTTGACTTAAAACTTGTTACAAATTAAGCTAAGAAAATTTATCACAATTCTTAAGTTTAATAGGCTGTCATCAGTCGTACGAAATTAATTTTCAGGCGTAGTATGCCGGGTGTCCTTGGATAACCCATCTCAAAAGAAGCAATAACAAACAAGCCATTACGAAGAACGACACCATGACACGGAGGGTTTTCTCAGATCGCTGATCACGTTCGCTGGCGCGTAAGCGCTCGATGAGCCCGTTCTGAAAAAAAAACTTTAGATTTACGTCCGGTTTATGCAAAAATGACAAGTGTCATTAACGTATTGTCAAGTAATTATTGCCTGTCAATTATTTACAATGGTGGACACAACGTGGTGCTGATGTTTCTGATTATTAACAGCTTTCATAGAATAATGGGCGTTTTATTTTTGATATAATTACGGTTACTTTGACTTTTTAATTTAATTCTAATTTCATTTGATTGCACTTTGAAACGCACCCAACCCCCGTGAGCTGCAATCCACGATCCTGGTTCTTCGTGCAGCAAATCAGCTATAGCTGCTGCAGGTGCCGTCACTAATTCAAGAGAAGGTTCACTGTCAGATGCTTCTGCAGCCTCGCGCGCCAAAGCTCCGCATACACAATACACCGCTGCTATCTAAAACATTAACAACTTGTCATTAAAGTAATTTTCTAAAATATTAACACAAATTTCTAAAATATTAACGTTTTCTATGAATTGAATTCAGATTACATTTTTATATCTCGAAAAATTGTAGGGGCTAAAGTTCGTTTTATTATTTTATTTCATTAAATGAAAATTGAAATTTAACTCGCTGACTTTAACGTAAACTTTTCGGATTTGTATTCATAATCGATGATGTTTAATAATATAGATGACGCATGTCGATACGCGGGGTTTAGAATTTATCCCGATTTATAATGTGACAAATGATATAGAATTGCGATATAATTAGACCAATTCCTGTAATTAGAGGTATAATATCATTGTTCATAGTAATTAATAATATAATGTATAAAAGGTAAATAATTTTTCGCAGTATCCCCGTAGGTCTCCCTAGATACTTGTATTTTATTATTAAAAAAAACATTACTTTCACATTCTATGTTATAAATTTCTGCGTACGTTAAAATCACGTAAAATTCTTAAGTCATTTTTATCTGACATGGGTAAAGTAAGTCCCGAGTGCCAGCGCGGCTAAGAATTTTCTAATGTGAGATATTGTTATTGTTATTAAAAAATTATTGTTAGTTAAAAAATTTATATAAGTAGATAGATAAAATTTTTTTTCTAGAAATTGTACAAATGAGAAGCAATGCTGCGTGTAATGTATCTAGTAATTATTGAGAAATTGGGCCCGAGAAGTAGGCTTACTCGTAGAACTTAAATGCACCTATCTGAGCTTGACTTCGCAAATCTGTAAACAACAGTACAAGTGCATGCGGTTGTATTGTTGATGCAGAAAAAGAAAAATCCCTTCGTAAAAGAAAATAAAAGAATAAAATCTATCATCGGAAGTCCAAAAAAGTAATGAATTCAGAGCCACATTTTTTTGCACCCTACATAATATGTTTACAATAAGAGAACACTGGTTACAAAATGTTTTCCAAGTACCTTCGACCAGGTGATGTTTTCTCTCGTAATTCGCCTCGCAAGAGCAAGTGCAAGCTCAGCCAAGGCAGTGTCGGAACGGAGCATAGTGGAGGGTGCGCGAGTCGCTTGCCTAGCCACGTGACGGAAGGCGTCCGGGCGTTTTCTCTCGAGAGCGGCGCACAGAGCACGGAGCGCGGCCAGTACTCCGTTTTCCGTATTAGACACGGCTTCCTCACCACACTCGGTTTCCAGCATTTGTTGCAGCCGTTTCAATACAATTTGCTGTTAAAGGTGTATTATTAAATGGTAGTTTTTAAGATTAATAAATGTATCTACGATATTATGTCTGATGAACTTTATTCCTTTATCTGTGTGTATTTTTTTGAATACTTTAAATACTAAATATCGTTGTCAGTGTTATAATATTTCCTTATTTATGTCTCTCACAGGTGGGCCAAACCATTTCATTTCATTAGCTCTTGTTTCATCTCTTTAAAGTTTTGTTTTACTATTTGAAACATACAAACCTTTTTTGGACATGTAGACGATCTTCGTATTTGTGTTTTGATGTACTGCAAACACAGAGCGCGGCCCTGACGAACGATTTGCGGCTTGACTTGCGTGGGTGAGGCGAGGCACCAGCCTATGGTGGCGGAGAGCCGACGGGAGACCGCCGCAGCGGCGGCGCTGGAGACCATAGTACTGAAACGCCTCTTCGTGCGGTCCAATGGAGACAGTGATCGAGGTGCTGGTTGCAATATGATATTCGTTATTAATATTCATAACAGATATAGCTTTTTTATATTTATGTGGGGAAATGCTTACGCATATCCCCATGCTCGCGGATGGAAGGGTTTCTGTGGTAGAGTAGAGTGAGAGTAGCTTTACCTTAACCATCTTCAACCTGTCCTCCGCGTCTCCTTTGGACGGATACAGTGTGGGCTCTATGAGACTAGCCGCAACCTCTGTAGGTGGGTTGGCAACCCTAGTACCCCTTTTTGTTGCTTAAATTATGTTTTACTCTCCATCCTCGAATCTTGTGTTATCACGGAAAACCAGTCTGACTTCATGGTCGTTTAGATTTGTTGTGGATTTACGAATATGTTGATATGAATGTTATTTGGTTATTATGCACTAATGCACTAGATATAGAGAAGAATATAGAGAAGTGCATAGCAGAATATATAAGCAATATCATATTGTCATTGCGTCAAAATCTCGATATGTATCGACGACATGTTTCTTTATTACATTTAAACTATTTACATTATACAGAAATTGACATCTTGAGCGCAAAGACTAGGTACGTTAAAAAATAAAATTAATTATAAAAAGCTCATTTATTAAATAAAATCTGATTTAAATCTAAACAACAGTACGTAATTGATAAAATATTTATAAATTTTCTAAGGAAAGGCGCGAATTGGAAATTTAAAAGGTATCTAGTTTAAAGGAAGGGGTTAGAATGAAATGCTACACTTAAACTGTGTGATTACCTGAGTAAGAACATACTTCCACTTTGTGCCTTTGCAGAATTTTATTATTTCGCTTTTAGGCATGCTCTCAATAATATCAATAATCAATCACGCATAATCATTCATGTTCGGCGCCTATGTCTATTGTACTGTCTACTTCCAGTGCCCTATCGATTTGGTTAATATAAAGGATCCTGTTTTAGTCATTGTCTTTATGTGACTGATGTTCTCGCCTTAAGTCCGTGCCCTATTAAAGCTTCATTAATTCTTCCAGGGTACTTTTTTTTAGTAAATCGAAGGATAATAATGAGATTTAATTAATATATTAATACCAGGGCTACAGACGAAGCCATCGGCGGCGATCGGCATACTACTTAGCGGGCTGCTGAGTTTTCTCCGCGGCCGAAGCGGTGGTACTATCTCGTCATCTTCTTCGCCATCGGGTGGAGTGACATGTATTGCTATGTTGTTGGCCTCTTGAGTTTTCCTCCCACCCGATGGCCATCGTGAATCTGTTAATTGCCCAATCTGTAAAAGAAAATATAACCAAAATTTGAGTTTGCTTCAATTTTCCAGTTAGGAATTCGCTGGGTATAATCACTTTGTTTAACCATAAAATAGACAAGTACAATTAAAAATAGATATGATGAATCGATTGAAATATTCAAACACGACTGAAAACATAGAATATTTTTTTCAATTTTAAATTTCTCTTACTATATATACTTTGACGCAAATAAGTGTATTTTGCTTTGATTTAGCAGTTTCATTAAAATAAATTAAAATGGCAATGATGCCTAATATCGTTTAAAAAAGATAGTACCAGATTGTGTGATAATAAATGAGACTCACACCAGTTACCACTTCGGAGAAGGAATTTTACACCAAAGAAAAAGAGCTGGCTAAACATTTGTGCTTCTCCTCACTTATCTCGTAAGCCGGCCGTGACACTTTCTCGAAATATATAAGCATATCAAGGCACCATATACGTGGGCTTCTTGGAATAGAAATAATGAGGCTGTTGTTAGTTGTGATGCAATCAAGTTGCGTGCTGTACAAACTGGTAAAATTGCTGTGAGTTCATATTTTATGTATTTTGAAATTATCGATTCTAGATGTGCGGAAACTCATCATCCGTGTTGCGTCTGTTCTTCTCAATTATTATTTTTTTGATAAAATAGAATTTTTCCTTCCATAACAGCTGACGATTTCTCCCTCTTTATCCCTCAATGTTCGTGGATCAATATGAAATACCTATCCATAAATTTCATTTGAAGTTCATCTAAATATTCTTTAGTTCTAGACGACCTTTCGAAATTTCACTTTTATTAAAATTATGCTCTAAAAATATGCAGAAAAATTTTAAATTATGATTAGTATAAAATGATTTTTTGCAAAACTGCGTGGCTACTACAGTAACGATAATTAACTCTTTTGTTTTACTTAGTAATACATTAAGAATATAATAAATAAAAAAAATTAATCTGAATATCTTATGATGGAACGACATTTGTCCCGAGAAAAAAATTGCGGCACTAATTGCGTAGATGCAAAATATGCTTAGTTCGAAATCTAAACTTGCTTATTTTTTTGCATATTAAAAGTTATTTCAAATAATGAAGTGGCAATTATGAGAGGAATTAAAATTGTATGCCATTGTCGTTTATATCTAAATTTGTTAAGAAGTTACATTTTAATGGTGCCTAATTAGCTCTTTGGCAGGACTTAAAGTTTTTGCGTATAATTTTGCTAAGATAAGCTTTTTAAATACAAGTTTCACTGTAATTGGCTTCAAGTACATAGTCTAAGAACTTTTACTTTTAAAGAAAAGACTTAAATACAATTTTGTTAACTTGTCATTATTAGTATCAAATATGATATAGCTCGTAAAGTGTATTATAAATCCATTATGATCCATATTTTAATCCCCGAGAGTGCAGACAAATATCAAAATCATTGGTGAACTTATTATTCATATAATTTAAAAATGAAATTAAGTCCCAAAAATTAAATTAGTAATTGAATTCAGTATCATTAAACCGATTGTTTGTTCATTGCTTAATTAATAGGAATAAACAATGGCAGAATAATGAATAATGTATAAAATAAGACTCCTGGTTTTATTTTGCACTTATTACGAACCATTACGAGCCATGGTTGTCCGCCTTTTACTAACATTTCACATAATTGCTAGCATAATTTTAGATCCTATTTTAACCACATGGATTTAATTATAGATTAAAGCCTAACGGTGTTTCGGTTATGAATAAAAGTTTACATAGATTGATGAAAACGAATGTTAAACATGTATGAATAAATAATACGATAAAGTATGCATCATCAACATCCTCCTGTTTTTATCCCACCCAGGTCGACACAACATAATTATGAACTATTTTTTAAACAGTTTTGGCAAGGTTTTTTTACCACCGGCTGTCTGCATGACGTCAAGGGTTTTCGTCAGGCAGACAGCCTTGGGAAACCAACACTCAGATGCGGAAAAATTATCTGTGGGTCACACAAATACTTGTCCCGTGTTGGAATCGAAGCCACTACCCCCGAGGTCGAAATCAATAGCTTAGCAACGGTGCCACCGCGTTACGATGAAGTATGTACGTTAGAAGTGTAGATAAAACAGTCGCAAAATTTTTCGGATTACAATTTCAGATGCTCTAACCACTATGCTAAACGGCCAGCATCTTCACTTTGCAAAAATCTTGACTAAACGTCAAATTTAAAAAAAATATAGCTGGTTTTAATGCATTTTTAGCAATGCTTGGCTATGATTCCTTTATAGCACGCACTATCGCCTTCCCTATAACGCGTTCCGTAACAAATACTTAGAAGTCACTTTCGACTCGCGTATGTCATTTACTACGCACATTAATAACGTTCGTAATAGAGCCGCGTTCGTCTCCGGCCGGCTACACAATTTAATTAACGCGAAAAGCAAAATGCCCTTAAGGCACAAATTATTATTATGTAAGACCTGCGTACGACCTATTATGTCCTACGCATGCATGACCCTCGCCCACACGCACCCTACTGGCTTGTACAAGTTGCAAATAGTACAAAATAAGTTCATCCGCCGCGCAACCGCGCACCGGTGCGCAGCACAGCGATTGCAGACTCCCGACGATTCGCGAATATTTTAAAGACCTGACCAAACGATCGTTCGATAGAGCCGAACATCATTTCAACCCTCTGGTGGTAAGCGCAGCAAATTACCAACCCGACACAAACGCGAACGTCAACAAGCGTCGCCCGCGAAACGTCCTCATCGACCCAGTCGAGGAAGGGAACCTAGATACGCCGGACCCACTGCCGGGGGTCTCGCCGGATAACACTACACCCACAGTTAGTGCAACAACAAACACTAGTTCGCCCTCGCCTCCGAGCACGGCGAGACCAACACAACGCGTCCACAAGGAGGTACACCCGCGTTCCGGGGTGGTTCTCACCGCTCCCAGCCACCGATTAGCTAATTGCACAGTCGACGGCCATCGGGGTTTCGGTCCGAACCGCGACCTCGATGGCCCTTAGATGACACACCATAGTTAAACGCATGAGCATATGCGCGGCTCTTCCCACAGCGGAGGGCCCAAACCCGTGGGTTCTGGCTAGCCCACCGGTTCTGCGTCAGATGAAGCTTTAATAGTCTCGGGACTGAAAGCAAAAACATGAGTTAATAGATGATAGAAGAAGCGTTCCGTATATTCCGTATAACTAGGTTAAGCGGTTGATATCATAACCGCACGAAAATCTCGACGTCTTATCTACTTGGTTTTTTAACCGACTTCAAAAAAGGAAGGTATCTTAATTCGATGGTATATTTTTTTTTATGTGTGCTCGTGAACTTCGTTGTTTGCTTTTTTGATCGGAAAGGAGATATCTCAAGAGTGGTACCATGACAAGGAAACAAGGATCTGATGATGGTATCACAGAGAAATCGAGGGCCAATAATGAAAGTTATATTTATTAACAATGTCTTTAATTTTCTAATTGAATTCGTTTTTTTTAGAACATGTAGAAAAAGTACAAAATGATTGTCGCCGCTGTGGGAATCGAACCCACGTCTTCGTCATTCGCGGCCTGACGCTCTAGCCACTAAGTTAAACGGCTGATAGCCACAGTGACGAGAATCTTAACGCCTTCTTTCTACATTGTTATTTAGCATTTGAAGCAATGCTTGGCGCATCTATTGTTATATCCTTTCCAGCATACAAACAATTTCGAATATAATTACAACGATAATTCGAACGAGAGATGTCGCCATTGCTTTATATATATTTTAAAGTTTTTTTATAGTGCTAATCGTTAATCGTTTTTTTTTTGTTAAAAATTATACTTGTGTTGCATTTTTAGCACAAGAGACCGAGAACTCAGTATGTATTTGAACCGAGACCGCGACCAAGATCTCGGACATGTATAAATACGAAAAAAGTAAGGTGACTGATTAATTATTTCGAACTAGAAAACTAGTTTTAAAGTTTTTTATAGTGCAACTAGTTGCAGAGATTAGCACTATAAAGCATGTTGCAGAGATTAGCATTAGCTAGTGAATCTCTAGAAAACTAGTTCTTTATAATTATTAATTTTCAATGAACAGGTAAATTTTTTGTGTTCACGAAAAACAAAACCGACTTCAAATATCTCGCTCTGTATACATTATATAATTAATTTTTAGGAGTTCCCTACGTATGTCCGGAGCCCAAGGTCCAATACAGATGAAATTAATATGGGACCAGATCAGCTTTCAAATAAAAAAATAATTATAAAAATCGGCTTGACGACCCGAATGGCGTAGTGGGTAGTGTACCTGCCTTCTGCGCCAGAGGGTGTGGGTTCGATCCCCACTACTGGAAAAATATTGTGTGATGAACATAGTGTTTTTCTAGTGTCTGGGTGTTTATATATGTATTTATTTACAAAAGAAAAGTATGTTTAAGTATGTTTATCAGTTATCTAGTACGCATAGTACAAGCTTTGCTTAGTTTGGAACTAGAGAACGTTGTGTAAAAATGTGTCCTAAAAATATTTATTTATTTTAAAGGTTCACTCAGTCGAAAGTTCTGAGGTAACAAACAAAAATACAGTCGAATTGAGAACCTCCTCCATTTTTGAAGTTGAAAATGTTTTAATTTTGTAATAAACTGGTAAAAAAGTATGTCTCTCTGGAATATATTTCTTTTTATTAATTAAATATTATTTCGAGATCATATAAAAATAAAATAATTACGTTACTGACAAAATAATGTTGTTATTATTTGAAAGACAAGTTAACGAGATTCAAATTATTTTTAGAATAAAAGTAAATATACCTTTTAACGAAACATAAGCACGGAGAAAGGTATAATGATCTGAGGCGAACACCATGAATTTTAAAGTTATTATTATTTAAAATTTATTAAACCATTATTATTTTTTTTATAAATATTTTTATTAATTTCAACTAATTTTACGCATTTCATTGGAATTCTACCTAAAACAGAAATGTCCTCCATGCGGGTGAGAAATGAGTAGACCTGTATCATAGTGTAGGAGTGAGTGGGAGGCAGGACGAGTGATTTGACAAAGTCTGCATTCAGGAGATAGTAGAATATAGGGTATACTTTTAGTGTATTTGGGTCAAATGTCTGTAGACGGTAAAATTAATCTTTGCACGATTAATCGTCTCATAGATCCTAGGAAAATCCGCCGCTTTTTTTACTAATAACAATCACTCCCATATAGCATCAGCAATATACATGTAATTCAGGGCAAGAAAAAGCAGTTATCATGAGACTTATCCAAGCTTACCTTATATTGCTCATAAAAAAGTTGAAATGGAAAATGATGAGAGAGCGGTAACTGGGCTGAGACATTCACTGATACTGACTTTGAAAGTGTTAGTAAAGCTCTATAAATACTAATCTATTAGTCTTTGTATCTTCAATTTTTAATTTTAAAAGCTTAATCTGCACTCGTATTGTATAGGTCTTTGTAGTTTTAGTATTGAAATCTAAATGGCATTGTATTCCCATGCTCTATTGAAAGTACAACTCTAGCGTGTCATTTGTTCAGACGAGTGAGCAGTAATATTTTATGCAGATTTCTTTAAAATATAAAACAAATGCGAACGATTAACTAATAATTGTTTTAGGAACAGAAGGTAGTATTGAACAATAGCTTCGATAGTGCATTACTAATGTAAACAGATTATGTACGTCCTTGTTCAAGAATAAAGTGACAGAATTCAAAGCTGGAGCACAAATCACTGAATCAAACCTGATAGTGGATGCGTCCAAGTAAAACATACTATTATGTAAACAAAAGAATCTCGGAAACAAAAGGCCGCGGTTCGTGTCACGATCATTTACATACTTATTTTTTTACCGTTTTTTCTCTACCAGATCATTGCTTTCTTTATTTTTTATATTTCCAAAATACACGATTTACCAAGAAAAAAAACCTAAAAATAGTACCTGGAGGACCACTCCAGGTACTATTATTATATTAGCAGATTAATTATAAGTACTAAATAGTTATTTTGTATTCACAAGACAAAACCTTTAAAGTCATCGTGCAGAAACGCTTTGAAATGTATTAATGACGATAATTGACTACGACCAAATTATCCAGTCCCCTGTAATTACATTAAAGAGGCTTGTTTAGGCAAGAGTGAAGATGCGAGTTTAGATTCGTCTGGATTGCTAATAAAAATGCAAAGCAGATAGCGTTTAACTCGATCGAGGCAATGATGGCCATGGCGATCGCTACGTTAGTAATGTTAATTCAGTCACTCAATGCTATTGATAAAAACGTTGCCAGTGGAATACTCAATCGGAGCGCAGCATGAGGAAATTTAACTCATTTGTCCCTTTTTGGCGATGACTCATAATTGGAACAATAGCATGGTACACAAAAAGTACTTGGTGGAAGTATGCGAAAGCCTGCTTGGACGAACTCTTGGTGAACGGTAACAGTGTCAAGAATCTTTTGCTTTTAATCCATCATACCCTAAAAAATTCAGTAAGAAAGTTTTGAAACACCCCCAGTTGTATCATAAATTTCTGTAATAGCATTCTCGTTGTTAATATTATAAAAAAGTGTGTATATTATTAAGAATGTGTAGTGAGTGCAGGATATTTGAAGTATGATCTTGT